TGCGCGAAAAAAAGCGTAATGGGCGCGGCATGCATCGTTGCCACAATGTCCGACATGGTACGAAATGGTGGCGTACACAGTTGCCGCGCCGCCGTCAAGGTGCTAACTGTGGATTTAGAAGAGCATGCCTCTGAGATGCTAAATCTTCTGGACGAAGGAAGGAAGTCATTGCGGTCTCGTTATCAACACCTCCAAAACGAAGGTCATGCGGAATGCATTCTCAGCTAGCGCCCCTGTACTCTTAAAAGGAAGTCCAATCGAAGACGTTGAGGAGTACATATACCTTGAGGAGCCAGCTGAACATGAAGAACGATCTTTAGGGAGAGTTAACGAGACGTCGCAGGGCTGGATAAAGGATAAAAGGATAAAGCATTTGCCGTTGATCAATCCCTTTTTGGGATGCGGCACGCATTCTACTTCCATTTGTACATTCGCAGTGGCGTTGAATGCGATGTGGCCTATACAATGACTTGCGAATATGCCAAAGATCGTGAGCTCCAGGGCTCTTAACTACGCCGGAGAAATCTGGGCCTTAACAAAATCGCTGGAGAAAGCGGCTTCAATCCGCTCAGGCATCAATTGAACGTCGTCTGATAGGCCTAACGCTGAGCCGTCAACGAGAACTGAACCTGCACAATTCTGAGCGTACATATGTCCAAGATTAAGGACGTTCCAGTTCACTTCAATGAAACGAAGCCCAGATTTGTTGTGCGTCTGATCAAAAGGAAAGATGAACGATGTAGCTCGAAGACTGCACTGTTGTGTCCGCGTGAAACGACGCGGCTATTTGGCCGCCCTCTTTTAGGTACAGATTTTTGGCATACAGAAACAACGTGTATAATCCTGTATCCCTTCTAGAGGCCGCACACTGGGCAACTAAGACCGAGAGAGAGGGACTTTAGTCAAAAATGACCTCTAATTCATCCACCTCTCGCGCACTGCCACCTTAAGGCTGCTTTCATAGTTCGCATCGGTGCGGTCGGTGCCGACGGCGCCGACGGCGCCGACCGCACCGACAGTGTGAAGAGCGTCAACACGCGCTCTGGCGCATGACGCGTGCGCTGGGCGCAGATGGGGCGCTCCGGTCGATAATCTTGGTTTTGGTGTATTTCTTGTATTTTTTCGATGTTTTTTGCACTCACTTCATATGAATAAACAAAATTGCTTACGACCAACACACCCGGTATGGCCACATCCACCCGGAGTTGTGCGACGGGTTCACGACGTCGCTCGCCCGCGGAACAACTGGAAAGTATTAATCAAGACATAAAAGGGCGCAATGTGGCTCGGAGGGGGGGACAGCCGTCGCGCGGGGCGTTGTGGCAACAGGAAACTCGCAAGCCAGGGGGTGTGGCCAATTCAAGGGGGGGTGAGGGCAGTCACTTAGCATGCGTGAGAAGCTGAAATGTCCCGTGAAAAGCTGGAATGTTCGAGTTACACTACATCGCTGAGCCGCGCACCGACTTCCTCCCCCCCCCCGAGAGCCACATTGCGCCCATAAAAGAATAAGTATGAACAGGAAACACACGAATTAAAAAAAAAACGAAAAAACGCGCGAAAAAAACATCGAAAAGCACAAGAAATACACCAAAACCAGGATTATCGATCAAAGCGCGCGATCTGCGCCCAACGTTCGCGTCATGCGCCAGAGTGCGTATTGACGCTCTTCACACTGTCGGTGCGGTCGGCGCCGTCGGCGCCGTCGGCACCGACCGCACCGATGCGAACTATGAAAGCAGCCTAATCACTTCCGAGCAGTTCGCCTCTGCGGAGTACCTCACTTTGCTTGGCTTTGCTGTCTTCTGCCTCGGTAAAACATCTAAGTGTAAGGAACCGTATTAAGAATGTTTATTGTAGAGAAATGATACAGGTTAATACAAAGAAAATTCCCACTATTATTTCAGCACCTCTCCTATTTTTAACCAAATTGGTGATTCTGACCGAGGGTACGATTTTAATTTCGAATGTCAATTTACAGGCTCGCTGTTGCACATATTGAACAATACAAAATCTCCTGTCAGCCAAGTTGTGCTTTGCCAACCTGATGAATGGTAATTACAAAACCCTATGTCCTCGATTGCACAAGAGTTTCGTTGAGGTGTTTTCGAAATTTGGCTTGCAAGCTTGAAAAAAATTACCACTGAGCAATCAAATTTTGCGGCTGCCGAATTTTTTTGGTCCAAGAAATCTAGATACCTGTTGAAGCTGTTGAATTACGTATCTTGAGGAAACATAGCCTGATCACCACAACGCTCCCACAAAGTTTGGTGAATCTCATTAGCTATCATCTTCAAATTAAACCGCGGAAGAAAAAAGATCAAATGGTGCAATTACCGCTTCATTCCTTACGTATTTTAACAATAAATTAACAATGAGCAATGGCCGGTTATCTGTTGTAAGCAATGTCGAGACTAAATTTGGTTTACTATCACTGAATGCCGCTGACCAGAGCTAGGAGCCCAGTTAACCCTTTCCGGACCGCGCACTTTTCACGTGGCGGGCGCGTGTGGCCGGCGCCTTTTTATGCTCACCGTCGCGCGCTACTCAGCGAGCATAAACATCATGTATTTAATCTGTATTCCCATAAAACCAATATTATTCTCGTTTGTGTCTTTCTCATTTCTTAAAGTATATTTGTGGTAAATATAACAGAAAGCCGTCCTGTAATAAAAGTGACAGGGCCACACAAAGGAAGGCAGGAGTGAAAATTGTTCAAAATAAGTTGTAATGAGGAAAAAGGGATTAGAAAGTATCCAAAACTTTTAGGTTCAATAGTATCAGCTACGACGTGTACAAAATGTCATGATTGCTTTTGTATGAATTGTTTTCAAATGAGTTATAACTGTTTTCTTCAAGAACGAAGTGGAAGTTAACTTAGTTTTTCTTTAGTTTAGGACCTATTTCGAGATTGTAGTCCAGATTTTTTCATACGTACGGCATAAGTATGTTACATAGATATGTAACAACAAAAAACATTTTGTAGAAAAACCGAATCCTCGCAAAAATTACTCCTTGAAGTCCCTGACACCCCATGTGTGTCAGGCGGCCACAGGGAGCAAATTGGGCCTGACACCCCATGTGTGTCAGGCGGTCCGGAAAGGGTTAAAAAAATGCTGAAGAGTGGCGATGCCCTCACGGACTCAAAAATGACAGTGAAAAAGGTGAAGTCAAGTTAATACCATACGTAAGTGAAACACAAGCCAGGAATATGTCAATGAAAAGTGTTCAAGTATTTGATTTGAACCTCTAGCCAACAAAAAAATCATTGCTGTTGACTTTTTTGAATTCACTCCAAAGGACATGTTCTCTTCTACCAAAATGTCAGTCATAAATACAGTCATAAATGAAAATGTGCAGTTTTCTACGCTACACTAGGAACACGAGATGAATTCAGTCAAACTAGCACAGAGAAAAATATCTGAATTTAAAATGCTTCCCTAAAATTCTTCTATGTCTTGCTTTTTAACAAATAAATTAACTTTATTTAATTTTTGATATTTACTGGCGTTTTGTATTTCCTGTTTTGTTTCTTTACTGTTTTTTAATCCCCTTTTGAACACGTGTTATGTGATAAAGTTCATTATTCATATGATCGATACTGAGTCTGAGAGGTAAGAGGGCATTCCACCAGCCCCCACCCAGAGCAAGACAAACTCAGGCACTAACAGGTCCTCTCCGCAGCCAGTGATGTAGTGCGAGGTGGTATCCCCCATAATGCACTTTAGAGCTAAAAGTGCACCCCCCTTAACCGAGGACGTGAGCAATGTAAAAGAAGTGGGACCCGCGCAAGGCCTACCGCCGGGCTGATAACGGGTCGTTTGATTGTAAGTATCTGAGTATCTGTCGATTGCTGAGTCGACGTCGTGAAGACCCCGAATTTGGACAGAGACTATGCGGCACTGTGGAAGACATGTCACTTTGGTTTTGGTACAGGACATGTACCCAAATGGAACAGGAAAACTCATCTCGAGTTATGTATTGAAGGTGGACGTATACTAATGAACACATTCACGAAATGCGCAGTTTGGCGTTTTTGGTCTTGTGGATCCTGTGATTTTTTTCGAGTGCCGCCATCTCACCTTACATCCGCAGGTTAAGATTTTGGCAAAGGCAAGACACGAATGTAGCTAAATGAATTCTCCAGTGTTCACTGCGTTGAAATTACAGTGACCGGTACGTAATATCAGATTTCCGAGAGAAACTCCGTATAATGGTAGTGGAATGACTTCGCTGCACATGAGCAGCCAATATTAATAATCTTGCATCATAAGCATTGTTGCCTCGCCCACTCTAGTGAGATCACATACCTGGCGTCCATAACGGTTTGTGATCACTCGTTTGATTTGCATATTGGTGGCAATAGCAAGAAGACGAAGAAACCAAAATTCGAAGGATTCACAAAAACTTCCTTAAAACTAAGCATACTTGATGATGTGGTTCTTGAACCAGATCGTTAGGTATGTTTAGTTTTATCCTATCCATAGACCCTGCGTATTTCAATGATTTAGAAAATACTCAAATAACTTATAGTATGATCGAAAAGCATGTAATTACCAACTGACACGCTATATGGGCCGCCATAGTCCCAAAAGCACCCGTCCCTGGCACTCTACATGGGCTGCCACATCCTACTCGATAACTGCAAACCTCTACTTACTTTTAACTGCAGCAAGTTCAAACTAGGCTGAAACTTGTCACATGCACCCCTTAGAAATGAGGTACGACGAAATGGCGCCAAACCTGATCTCTCTCCCGCAATCACAGAATAAATTGAACATTTATCATTTGTGCTAACCGACATTTGCCCGCAAGTAAGGAACCGTCACTACATTGGTCGTTTACCCAAGTAATTAGTACGTTATAATTACAAGTGGATAAGTACAGGATTATCTACATGTATGTACTAGAAATATGACATTATGTCACTGATCTCATCAAAGAGAGATCTAAGAGTATCTGCTGGTAGCAATGAAATGTTCAGAGGTACTGTTCTTCTTATGTTAGAGTGGTCCAGCCGGCACCCAACCGCCGAAGCCTTCCTCGAGATCCTTAGCAGCTGCGATGAGAATTCGATCCGAATTTGGTGCAGCGACTATCTGCAAGAGAGCAAGGAATCACCACGAAAAGGATTTAATAACTTCAGGAAATGCCAAATCCACAAGAAAAAGATGTACCCAGAACTGTCTAGAAACGAATGGAACCCAAGAACAAGGGAAATGGAAAAAAGAAGAAATAAAGTTAAAATTATAAGTCCTTACCTGTACTCCAAGCGGCAATCCATTCTTATCCAAACCCATCGGACATTCGATGGCCGGGAAAGCGATGGCGTTGAACAAAGCCGTATATCCAAAGTTTAGTGGACAAAAAAGTGGTTCATGGTGGTACAGAGCTGTGCACGGCCAGCTTAAATCGATTTTTGAAAATGGCATATCAGCTAAGCGTTTGATACATAAACAATAATAGTACTGAAGATATTGATTGAGGAAAGATTACCTTCAAATTTCGGAAATTTCTATTTCGATCTGCATACAGACGTGCTCAAAAGCATTCGGTCACTCTCTTTTCGACCGTAACTTTCCTCCCACTTGATCAAATTGGTTCCAATTTTGAAATGTTCTGAGGACGAGCCTTTCCCATAAAATTCACATATGATCATTAAGTAGGAAAAAGAGTGAGAACTGGAAAAAATGTACTGGGATTTCCATGTATGACCATATTGTGAGTGAATTTCAAATTGTTCTAGAAAACTTACAATCCAACAGAATAGCGACTGCCGCGATAAATAACGTCAAGCAGACCCAATACTTTGTTGATAACCTCCTGGGTCGATGAAATCCTAACAAGGAAGTCAAGAATTAATGAACGAATGCACTGTGTACCGCGACAACTTCATTTTTCTTCAAATTTGACGAGTTACTCGTCCATTACTGGCTCTTATTTCTACTGAAAGTAGCTCTACCCATTCCATGATGTTTCGATGGCGCTCAGGATTTGCGCCTTTGTCAAAAGCGCGCCATGCTGTCGAAACCTCTCCTTCACAAAAGAGGTGCGATGCTTTTGGTCGCTCTATTGCTAGAAGGCGAACTCAGTCACGTACAGTTTCATACGAGCGGATACGAAACTCCTTCTAGAATCTATCTGATACGTCGGCATTCACCACTTCTCTAATCCTGTGCAGTTGTAAAACTTCTTTTACGGACTACCACACGCGAGCCTCCGCCAAGTTTTACATACGGCAGTTAATTCCTTGGATCGAAACGATTTCCGCCAGAATGCCACCCACGCATCTTTAATTTGCTCTCGTCGCTTCAGATGACGTTAGAGCTCTGTGGCGATTTCCAGTCCAAGTGTGCATTCCGTCGCCGACCAGTTCACCGTCGGATAACTTCTGACGACCAGCCGCTCACTCGTTTACTAATTTGAAGGTAAACATTTCTCACTTAAGAGTTAGCATATGAGGGATCTCGCGGATTGGGTCGCGTAATAATTATCAAACCGCGTGGCAGGCTCACTATTCGCGTACAACAAGAGATCCTTCTCAACTTCACAGGATTCGCAATCAGATGAAGGCGCACGTATACAGTTAGGTTCTAGGTGTTGTGTATCCACACGTATGGCACTTGTACGCACTGACTTCGCCTTCTAGCAATAGAGCGACCAAAAGCATCGCACCTTCACTGTGAAGGAGTGGTTTCGACAGCATGGCGCGCTTTCAACGAAGGGAACAATTCACACCATGTCCTGAGCGCCATCGAAACATTATGGGAAAGGGTAGGGATACCTTTGGTGAAATAAGAGCCAGGAATATGGACGAGAAACTCGTCACATTAATTGATTTCATACTTAGGCCATAGTAAAATTCGAGCTACTCTAGAAGATTATCGGCGGAGTTAAGATCTTCTTGATGTTCTT